TCCTAACCCTAACCCGTACCTCTACCCCCCACAGCTCCTTCTGTAGTCCCTCTACCTCTATCTCTATCTCACCACTGACTCTGATCAGTGTTTCTCCTCTGTATAGCTTATTGTCATAGTGATGATAAATGTAATATTGTGTCTACTCTGTAAGTCGCTTTGGATAAAAGCGTCTGCCAAATGCATAAACATAAACAACATAAACACAGGACACACGTGAAGGAGGACGTTACGGAGAACAAGCCGAAGCTTCGATCCAGCTTTTCCCAGAACAAACACACACACGGCGGACTCACAAAGATCACCGAAAATGTTCAAAGAGCGCCGCCGCCTTCAGGCTGAAAGTGCTGAGTAAATAAACTATTTCTGCTGCCATAATATTAAAGCAAAAGCCCATTTGTCATCCCCAAAACAGATCCAAATGACTCCAATTTCCCAGGCTGATCAAATCATTTTCCCATAACAGCTCCCAGCACCAGCCACCCCCGGATAGGAAAATGTTATTTGAAGTGAGATACGCCTCGCGTTTTATGAATAAGACGTGAGATTAGTGCTATTGTTTAGGAGGCTTTCAATAAGAGGAGGAGAGGATTGCCAGAGCAGGCCTGCAATGTTCCCGTGTGTCAGTCTGAATGCGACTGAAGTAATCAAAGCGTCGGCACTTGGAAAGAATCTGACTGGCGGAGCAGTGAGACTGTGACTCATCAGGAGTTCTTGTGCCATGCGAACTTCATCTTATAAGGGCAAAAGACTGAGGGGAATGCTCGACCAGACAGAAATCACCAGGAAAACACCAGAGACAGAAACACAAAAGGCTGCTGAAACTTCAGGCTGAAGCCAGTCAGCTCTCACGAATCAGCTCTGCTTTACAGGGGAAACCAAAAGGCCGATGGACATTTGTTTTTGTGTGAATCTCACAGTTATTTTCACTGGTTGTCGGCCCTTACAAATTTGTAAGACAGATAAGAAGACAACATTAAAGTATAAGAGTCAATCTGAGAAGTAAAGGAAAAGCTTTTGCTAATTCAACATGCCTGGAATTTGATTAAATGTTATTTTAAAGGCTGTAGGCTCCCTGTGAAGAACAACTGGATCCAAATATAAGATTGAAACAGTCAAAGGAGCAAAATAATTAATAATTCATTCAACTAGTTAAAGTTATTAGCAGGATTTTCCCACATCAAGCCTGATAATATTCAGCTCTCTCCAAGTGCTGCTTTCTCGAATAGGTTTCACTGATTTAGAGAAAGTTATTGGCTAATAAGGAGAACAGTAGATAAGATAATCTGGGACATGACTCATCTATATGCTTCTCACATTCAAAGACGCTTCCCCGGTAGATCACATCCTTAATAGCAAGGTTCCTTCAAGCCCCATCAGCTTATTCAAAGCTATGGTCTACCATCATTTACCTCCATTCAAAAACTGTAAAAAAACATTGTTAAACAGCTGGTAGAAACTCTTTTTATTTCTGCTGCTGTCACACATGGTGAAGCTTTCTTTGAGGTCACTCCCAGTAAAGTGAAATACAAAAATGTTAAGTTATGTGGGAACATTGTGTGTGAGAGGCCAGAAGCATCTTGGATGTTTTAAACTATCACCAGGTTATTGGATCTGCCTTTATTCTGTGTAACAGGAGCTTGAGAAGGCTAAAAAAAAAGACTGTTTATACTTTAAGGTGACGTTTCAGTGAGTAAAACCGAAGTTCCTGATGGATAACGGATTCTGCCTGAGCAGCTTCTGTGAAATTCAACACGCGGATCGGGCTCATTGTCACCGCTCTACTGAATCATTAGGGGTGGACATGAGCGGGTCTGGGGCTGCTGACCTGGAGGGAAGAGAGCGGTGATACACTGTGAAACATGGTGAGCGAGTGCGAAAGCTGATGACCAACACGTAGCGGGGAGAAGCCCACGGAGAGGGATGGAGTCAGCTTTTCCTCTGACCAAACACCTCTTTTTTTTCCTTTTTTTGTTCAGAAGCAGTTGCTGCTTTGACTGAGGGAATCTGATTCCTTTTACCAAATTATTCCATTAAAAAACATACGTTTTTTGTCTTTGATTGCTAACATTTTTGCCTTGTTGCTTGTTCAAACCAGCCACTCCCTCCAGAAAGCTTTACTTAATGGAGAAATATGCATTTAGAAAGCAAAGACATTTATTAACTAGCAGCACACAGAGTTGCTACTGTTTAAAGTGAAAGTTTTGTGAGATATAAAAACATAAACTTACACAAGGGACATTTAAATAAATGTGAATAATTTGAACATTGTGTGATACATTTGTTCTGTGGATGAGGTTCAAGGAAAAATGTCCTCAAGAAAATTGATTCTGCCACCATTGAATGTGCTAATTGTGATTAGAACTAAATTTTTATCAAGGCTCATCTTGTTCAACAAATAGTTAACCTACTCTGTCTCTCCAAACATCAGCACGATGACCTGATACTCTAACTGTCAATTCCAAAGACCAAAACTACGACAACTAGCTTAATGTCTTCTTCAATTATGACCAGTAAAACTGCCCCCCCCCCCTCTGAGCTCATGCACGCTCTGAGCAAATCAACTCTGCCTGCTTCTGTCTACGGGTGATGATAGCTGTCCGTCACGTTGCCGTGGAGATAAGGGGTGTAAATGGAGGCAGTTGTCGACATGACACCCCGGCTCAGAATTCCCTCCTCATGCAGGACGAGACAGAGGAGTCTTTCTCCATTTCTTCCTCTCTGCGTTTTCTCTTCCTCCCCTGAAATGTGTCACTCCTCTATCTTCCTGCTCCCTCTAAAGCTTTTGCTTCCTTTCCCTTTCATCCGCCGCTGGAACCTCCGTCACACACAGAGGCGCACACACCGAGACGACCTTTGACCTCTCCACACATCTCAACTCTCCCCGGCCGTCCCGTGAATACAAATAGTTCTCCTCTCACCCCACCGCGCCTCCGGACAGCCACCCGCGGGTGCACTGGGAGAAGAAGCACTCGTCCACGGCATGGCGGAGCTCCTCCACAGAGGAAAGGCGGGCGTTTTGCCGGGCGCACGCTCGCTCGGCCTCCTTTAAGCCTCGAACACCGGAGGAGTTCCTCAGGTCCAGCACAAAAACCCGACCTGGGGACACACACATGGAGGGAGAGTCAAAATGGGTCATTTTTAAACATAAACTTAAAGACTTTCTATTGAGAGGTCGGACATGTGGACGTTAATAATCTAACTGACGTGATCTTGTATCTGTTTAGTTTAGTTTAGTTTAGTTTTATTAGGATCCCCATTAGCTGCCCAATAAATGGCCACTAGTCTTCCTGGGGTCCTCACATGAAGAAATTATATTACATTATAAACAGATCATAAAAAATAGAAATAAAAATCACAGTAGGAAATAATAAAAACATAAACAAGAGTAGAACTATACAACATATACACACAGGTCGGTTCATAACCCGACCTGGGGAGACACACATGGAGGGAGAGTCAAACTGCGTCCTTTTTAAACATAAACTTAAAGGCTTTTTATTGAGGGGTCGGACATGTGGACGTTAATAATCTCATTGACCTGATCTTGTATCTGTGATGTTTTATTTTTTATTTTTTTTTGTATTTTATTTTTTCAACGTTTTCAGTACAACATTAATAACACAGAACAGTTCGACATAGAGAGCAGTTGGCAAAAATGCAGTGTGTTGAAAGTAGCGACGAATCATTAACCATTTTGAAGCACAGCACACCTCACCCATTTTGACCAAAGTTTGTGAAAAATGTCAAGTTTCAAGTGAATTTTAAAAGTAATTTGTTCCATATTTCTTATTTCAGTCATGGTTTCAATCCAGTTTGAAATCGTGGGGGCTGACTGTATCATCCATTTCTTAGTTATGGCTTTTTTTCCAGCAGCAAGCATTTTGTTCCAAATCTGTGATGTTTTAGCGTTTAATTTGTTCTGTTGTGTACGGTCACTGTGTTTTGTGTAAAAGCCTAACTGGAGACAGGCATTGAGAATTCGCCTTAGCTAAAATGTTGTAGTATGGGACATGATTCATGAAACATACTTGTCCCTGTCAAATAAACGAATAAATAAAAAAATGAAAAAAATGGAAAAGTCAAATTAATTCTGGTAAATGAGATTTACTATTGAAAAATACTGGCAGAATATTATTAGAATTAGATATTTTGATAAAATAGCATGAAATAATCCTAAATAAAAAATCTAAAATGAAAAAATAAATAAAAATAACTAATTTTTTCATAACAAAAACTAGCGAGCTGATTCTAGCAAGAGATCAATGACCATTCCTATGTTTTTCAGCAGCACAATGGGTTTAAGGCATCAGCTTAAATTAATACATCATGAATGAATAAACAGATTAATATAGATAGAATGAAAATCCGCCAATCAAGTAGAATCTTGTCCCTTATCAGATCATATCTGCCATTAAGACATCTAATTTCATCCGGAGTCGAAATTCATGAAAAGATTTGAAAACAAACCCATTTGAGAAATAGATGAAGGGAAACACTCTCACAGCCAGTAAATGACCTTTGGCTTTGTTAAGCAATTTAAGATTAATTCTTTGGAGGACAGATTTGTCAAGTCTGATTAGACATTTGAGTTTTGTCCATCTGTCTAATAACTCATTTCCTGGGTGTAATAATGATGAGTTTATCCATTTCAAGGTCAGTTAGTTGTCACATCATTCACTGTTTCAAAGCAGAAAAAGTAATACATATTCTTACTAAATATCCAGAATATTCAAACCCAATCCCATCTAAAAGTTTGCAATAAGAAACGCGCGCCAAAAGCCTCTATTACGCACAGGTTCATAACATGAACAAAGACCGTGTTTTAAACACGTCTTGTTCTCATGTGTTAATTCATTGCTACTGGAATAGAAAATAGCCAAAAGATGGGGAAACGGTTCATTTAGTGGGATAATAAAACACAGGAAACCTCAGCAGGTGCCAAACCTGCGTGCGCTTTCCCACTCTCACATTTACGCATCGTTAACACAGATTGTTTTCACTTGAGAAACGCTCAGAATGATTGTTTGGAGATATTAAATCGTTTCCTTCTTTCTTCCCAATGCTCACTTACCGTCTGCCTTCACAGAGGTCACAACAATACCAGCCAGACATCCAAAGAGCAAACACTGGACTTTCAGGTTATAGCGATCAATCATCTTATTTCGTCCAGTGAACAAAATCTTTCACTTTGTTTTTTGGAGAAAAAAAAAAGCAGAAAGTCCAAAAATAAATAAAAACTCAGTGTTCACAAACTACCAGATCAGAGTTAGAGTGAGCAGAAAAAACTCCTGCTTTTGGTCCTCCGGTGGCTGAGACTGACTGGGCTGCAGCTCCCGGTAACAAATGAGGATGTCAACGGGGAGGAAAAAAGAAAAAGGCTGGAGCGGCTCAAGCGAGAAGGCGCAGTTTATCTCCGCAAATAGTCGCGCTGACGAGCAGATGAAGCACCTGTGTGAAAACTCGCGCGGTTGCGTTAGTAAATACGTCACGGCCCAAAATCTCCAGAGTGGGCAGAAAGCGGTTAGACAGCCGGACAGTTGCTGCATTCAAAATTAAATGGTAATCCTGAACGTAAAACCTAATTCACCACAATCCCTCAGAGGAAAACCTTTACTATCTAATGGCCCCAAACTCAAGATTACCTAAAGCCATTCAAGATCCAAAAACTGAAAAGGAAAAACCCAAAGACTCATGTGTAAAACATAACAAAGTCCATACAACTAAATAATTTGACATGCTCCATCAGTTGATCTGATATAAAATCAAACTGATATGTTCACACAACTGAATATTCAACAAAAGGCTGATTAATCTGTTTAAAAAAGACATCATGCTCCAGTTTTGATTGGAAATCTTTTAAAAAATAATGAGAAAAATGAGTCAAAACACAGCAGTAAATGTTAACACAGTAATTTATTTATTCATATGCTAATCAATTAGAAATAAGGTTTATAATTGAAGGATTACACTGACGTAGCATCTGGGCCAATGCAGAATAATTATGTTCCACGTCATCAAACATTTGGGTCGGGATTACAGATTGGTTTGGTACATAGTTTTAATTTAAGAGATCTAACCATGCAGTTATCCACAGGGACAGAAAATTGGTTCCTATAATTGTTGGCATACGCTTGTTTTTTCAATTTTAGATTACACACAGCACAATATATGAACGTTTTGCTGGTATTTACCCCCTAAATGTGAGCTCTGATACTGCATAGAAATCCTGCTCTGTACAAATGCTGCAATTTAAAACATTTTACCTTTTATTTAGACACTACTTCATTTTTGTAGATGATTCAAAATGGGACTGTCACACATTTACCTGGTGTGACTTCACTTTTTCTTAAGGTTGGGATTTAGAATAAGAACTAAGTTAAGGATGTGGCATTCGCTGTGAAAGAGTAAACACGGTGCGTCTGGAGAGGTGAAAACAGACGTGTTTGGAGCTTTTAGGATCATTCAGGCATTGTTTCAGTGAGTCTGCAGGAGAAGATAACAACCTACATTTGTATAGGATGCACACTGGTGATCGGAATCCAACCACAAAACAACCAATAAAAGTCCATCACACAGAGAAAACAGCAGATTGAGAAGTAAAGAGCACAAACATTTACATTTAACTGATTTTGATTAATCGTTTTTAAATTCTCAATTTCAATACATATATATAGCGATATATATATATGTATATAGGTATATATATATATGTATATATATATATATATATATATATATATATATAGAGAGAGAGAGAGAGACAGACATACATACATACATACATGCATACATCCGTACACACATACATACATACATACATACATACATACATACATACATACATACATACATACATACATACATACATACATACATACATACATACATACATACATACATACATACATGCATACATACATACATACATACATACATACATACAT